AGCGATACACTATAAATGTGCTTGACTCGTAGAAAGCTGAGGGTCATCACACTTCGTAGGCAGTTTCTATCAGTTTATGTTGGAGAGTAATATACAGGCTAGCAATTCTCGAAACGTTCGTAGCCTTACGAACTTCTTAAGCCCATTCTTAACACATTGGCTACGATCAAAGTTAAGAATTCTTAGTATTAGCGAATACTAAAACTCGCTGCCGTGAAATACCATTTATATTAAACTCGTAAAAGATTTGGCATCAAATTCGCTTTCGCTCGTTTGATACCAAATCATTAACTCGTTTCAAATGGTATTACACGGAAGGTCGTTTAGTACCCTCTATATATGTTTCGGCGTGGTCTGGATTTCTGTGTGGAATTGTTGATATTGGAAGGACATTCCACATGCAAAGACGGAAATTCGTATCCAAACTACTTTGGCGTGCTCGTTCCCAAATACTGGACAAATATTGGAATTTATTATTTCAAGTGAATGTTTGTTTTCTAAACATCTCCAGTCACCTAATGAAATTATATCCGATGACCCGGAAATGTTGTATGAAACTATTGTTGTGGTGCTGGCCCAGATCATGTTACGCATCAATCGTTTAAAATCCGGAAAATCCGTTTAGTAATTCCAGCCGCTTTTGATACTTACACGGATGTTTGTAACTTATATCCTTCTAAAATGAGATAACAGGGTAACCGTTTTACGAGGCAAATAAGTAACAATTAAAGCGCAGTTGCAATGAAATGAATGTACTGCAATATTGGAGTTCGAGGTAGTAACCACAACTGTCCATAGCAGATAGAGAGTGAGTGAGTGAGTTGGGTTTTACGTCACTTTTGCCACTTAGCTACCCCACCGCCCCTGGAGTGATAATTAAAGCGCCTTAGGGACCGTTCGTAATTAATGGTTCTGTGTGTGCGTGCGTGCGTGCGTGCGTGCGTGCGTGTGTTATATGATGTTTTTTTATGGAGTAGCATGTACAATGTGAATAACCCCCTAATTTATATGGAACGGAAGTGACCCCCAGCATGTAATGTACAAAATCATTGACACCACCCACACACCCACACACACCCACACTCTCTCTCTCTCTCTCTCTCTCTCTCTCTCTCTCTCTCTCTCTCTCTCTCTCTCTCTCTCTCTCTCTCTCTCTCTCTCTCTCTCTCTCTCTCTCTCTCTCTCTCTCTCTCTCTCTCTCTCTCTCTCATAATTTTCCAATATTATGTATGTGCTGATCCCCCTAGTATGTGTGTACAAACTTGAGGACCCCCCTACCTCCCCAGAACAAAATGGGTGACCTCCCCACCCACACACACCTTTAAATCATCATCAGACCACCCTCTCTCTCTCTCTCTCTCACACACACACACACACACACACACACCAGTCATAAATTATGAACGGTCCCTCAGTAATCACAAGTGTCCATACCAGATAGATATATTACCTTACCCACATTGTATCTATGAAGGACCGGGTTAGAATATTGATCTTCAACAACCCATGCTTGTCCTAAGAGGCGACTAATGGGATCGGGTGGTCAGGCTCACTGACTTGGTTGACACATGTCATCCGTTCCCAACTGTGCAGATCGATGGTCATGCTGTTGACCACTGGATTGTCTGGTCCAGACTCAATTATTTACAGACCGCTGCCATATAGCTGGAATATTGCTGAGAGCGGCGTAAAACTAAACTCACTCACTTACCCACATAGTA